ACTATCCAATTTTGATGTAGAGGTACATGATCCCGCTATTTGACATTCTTAAATTTTATTTGATATTTGAATTTTATTGTTGATAGAATCCTCGACGTATCCCTCGGCCACTGTCGAAGATTTCCTTCCTCCGTGGCGCTTCAAACTAAATATATCACGATTGTGGCTGAAGTTCTCTGGAAACAATGCCCAGTGTAGGCCTCATAATCTGGCAAATTCAAGTGTTTTGCTATCACGCTAGGCATCTTACCAATAGAATTTATGCCGACCACTTGGTTAACACATCTTTTATTTTGATATTTTAAAAACAATCTGCGACTGGTAGCATTTCTTGGACGAAGAGCTGCGTATTTTCGGTAAATCTCAATATAATTCAAATTTGACACTGTAAAGACTCGGTCTATGTTTGTTTTTGTATCGGGTACTTTAACAATCAAAATTGAATCTTTATCTTCTGTGTTATTGACCGTCAATTTAGTAAGTTCCTCACGGCAACAAGCACCAAAAATACCAAGTATTAAAACGACCTAAATGTTAATGTTTATAGAAAAAATGTTGTTTGCAACTCGTGCGCAAACTACTGTGGTGATCTCGACTAATTTTTCAACTCGACTACGCCTCATTAAAAAATTCAAGTATCGATCACCAAAGTAGCACTTCGCGCACTAGATACAAAAATAACTTTTAACTATTATATTGGTATAGGCCAACGTTACTATATTAAACAGGTTGCCCCGCAAATTTTGGACCAATAGGGGCGAAGCTGCAACTACGTCACAGGGATGCTACAGAACGTATAAAATTATAGATGAATAAAAAATAAAATGCAACCGACAAAGAGAGATAAATGGGCAATACAATAAAGAAAACACACATCAAACAACTGAAAACTATAGACGCTATACACTATAAACAATAAAGTTCACAATATATATCGATTCGGAATTGCACGGTCGGACTGTCTGCAGTTTTTACCCCTTTATCTATCAGTGATAGCATTCCTATGACGTAGTAGATGACGTTTCCGATAATGGCGGATTGAGTTACGAGACAACCTTATCTTTTAATAACCTTGGGTATAGGCTTGGTGCATTTCAGTTGATTTTAAAAAATTCCTATAGCAGCGCTCTATTCGGCACAAATAAAAAATGTTATTGCTGGACCTGTGTCTATGAAAGGAATGCGGACAAAAAACATTTACAGTTCGTCTGCTCGATTTGTGTCTATGAAAGGAATGCGGGCAAAAAACATTTAAATAAACAGCAATATATTTTATACGTCGACTTGACGAGTACGTCACCGCAAATCGCTCCGCCCACTCATTTTATTGGCTACTTGCGCGTCGTCTAATTTTTTACGAAAAACATCGAGACAATATCGTTTTCTCCCTCACGGATACCCCGTAGCTACAGAACGGACAGACGTAGTGTACAAATAATTTTCATTATTACTTACCATAAACGATTACTGCCATTAAACAATATTAGACTGAAATAAGACCTAAATAACCATTTTCCTTAACATTCAAGAAATAGGGTTAAAATATATAACAATAATGATAAATTATTTATTTCCTTAGTGACGTTCTCAATGATACGCATAATAATATATCTTAGAAAACAGCTTGTCAGGCAAATTAATTTTGTCTGTCAAAAACCGGAGAAACTAAGGGTTTGTTTTCATAAAATATGTTGGCGCCTTTTATCATTAATTATACTTGCTTTTCGTTTGGCACAAATCCTTTGTCTATTGCGCTCGTAACAGTCTGTAAGAGGATATGCCATTTGTTTATGCTTAACGCTGTTGATAATGTGTCAAAAATAATAGCATTAAAAACTAAATATTTACAATTACATAAAAGATGTGTGTGTATCAATATCAAGTAAAAGCAAATTTAATAGTACTTGAGATTTGCCTCAGTGAAAATACTAGAGTTATTCCGTATAAAAAATAATCAAAATGTCCTCGAAATCGAAGATTTTTTCAAATTAATGTATTTTATAAAAATTTGGATATAAGTTAAACAGTTTTTTTGGTTTATACAGGGTGGCGCCTCTCATACGCCGCGGAAGCTCCAAGGAGAACGGTAGTTTATATCGAAATGAAATTTTGGCAGCATATGAAGTTAACTGAAAGCATTTTATAAAAATATATAGAATTATACAGGGTGTCCCCAAAAAAAGTTACACATCAAAGTTGTGTTTTTTCTAACGGAACACCCTATATATTAATTGATTTTCGGATTCTAGAAAAAACATAAAGGTGAGTTTTATTAAAAAAGCATCTAAGGATTTTGACATATTTCAAATTTTGTGAAAATGAAGAGTAAATTTTAAATTTAGGTAACAGCTATCTAAATTTTTGTTGACCTTGTATAGCCTGATATTTAATTAGAGTAACCATTGTATGTTAAACCAAATTGAAATTTAACCCGAAAAGTTATACAGGGTGAGACAAAATTAATGTGGAACATTCGTAACTTTTAAAAGCAAGTTACTCCTTTATTTTAAATAGAACATCCAGTATATTTTTTTGGTGTTCAATGGAGAATTTATATATTTTCAAAATTTTATTAAGGTTGCCTACCCATCAGACCAAGATTTTCCTAAATATTTTAATTTTTATGATTTTGCGTCAGTAGAACTTTATTATTTCAAAAAAATCTAGGTGGCTGTGTGATATACTTTTTGTTAATTTAACAAAAATTAAAGATTGTAGAGTAAAATACTCAACGGTAATAAAAAGATACACGTTTAAAACATATTTTAATTATTACAGAATTAAAACTCGATATAAACCTAGAATTATGTGACAAAAATTAGCTAAATGAAACCAAATGCTCAAAATGCTTCCTTTCCTTTTAACTGCATAAAATGATTGTCTTTTCAAAAAGATCTTTTCATTTTAAAAGGAATATGTGGAGTTCTATCTCGAAAAGCAGCTACTAATTTATCTTATGTTGTCGACAATAGTTGTCCAGTTTTGTAAACACTATCTCTAACATATCCCCATAAAAAATCCCAGACTAGATAAAATCAGGAGCACTTAAGTATTCTGTTAATTGGTGAATGCATGTTTAACTGACAAAATTATTACTAGTTGTTAAAGTTGGACTAATTAGAGGGCTATGTTGAAGTAACGTCAGACATATCACAGCCACCTAGATTTTATCAAATAATAAAGATCTATTCAGATCAAATCATGTAAATGAAAATATCTAGGAAAATCTTTGTTTGAGGGGTAGGCAACCTTAATAGTATTTTGAAGAGACATGGATATCGGAGTAATATACTGTGTGTTCCATTTAAAATAAAAGAGTAACATGCTTTTAAAGGTGACCAATGTTCAATATTAATTTTGTCTCACCCTGTATAACTTTTTGGATCAAGTTTTAATTCAATTTAAAGTACAATAGTTAATTTAGCTACATATTAGGCTAAACCGGGTAAATTCCAATTTAGGTAGCTTTTATTGTAATTTAAAAATTGTTCTTTATTTCTAGAAAATGTGAAATATGTCAAAAACCTTACATTTTAGTCATATACTTCTCTTAAATAACTTACCTTTATTTTTCTCCCAAAATCCGAAAATCAATTAATATATAGGGTGTTCCATCACAAAAAACACAACTTTGATATGTAACGTTTTTTGGAGACACCCTGTAGAACTCTCTATATTTTTAAAAACTGCTCTGAACTAACCTACATATGCTCACAAAGTTTCATTTCAATACAAACTGCCGTTCTCTTTGGAGCCTCCGCGGCGTATGAGAGGCGTCACCCTGTATAGGAAGTGGAAAATAACTAACTTTAAAATTTTAAAGAAATCCGTTCTTTCCAGCTATTTCGACGCAAAATTGCAATAGCTTCAGAACCTCTGTATTCAGAACAAATATCTTGAAGACATTTCAGTAAAATTTCCAAAAAATGTTGGTATTTAATAATTATTTTTTTACTTATTTTATGTTTTAAGGTTGATTCTCACTATACCTTCCATATCAGCTCCCTTCCGTTTCCCTTTCGTTTACATAAAATATATTATATCAGGTAAATGAATAGGACAATGCACACTATCCGTTCCGTTTCCCTTCCGTTCAATATCATTTCCTTATATACATTTTTTGGCGGACGAACTGAAGCGTATCGGAAACAGCGTTGTCAAGTTCTTACATTTCTACCGAGCTAGTGGTTAATATTTTGCTAATATTTATGTATTCTTTCACCTCTTAATTAAATCTATTGCCATTTTCAAAAGATACAAATTTTTAAAATAAATCTTTCGTAATGATATAAATTGTACAATAAAAAGTATGGAACTGATACGGAACGAAAGTTTACGTACAGCGTCAATACCATAAAAAATACGGAACGGATATGGAAGGTATAGTGAGAATTAACCTTTATGGGATTAAAATATAGCAATTGATTTTCTTTTAGAAAAATATACAGGGTTTTTCAAAAAACATGGGCCATCTCTCGTAAGGAGATTCCTCACGTAAAAATAAGATTAATTTTTCATATCGACATAGGTCCGATTCTACTTTGTTTCGTAGCTACAGGGTGTTAAAGTCTAAATATTTTTTCGATATATTATAATTTTCTTTCAAGTAGGTACCTTTAGTTTTTCAAATGAAATTTTGAGGGTAAAAGTTACTATAAATGCGAGATATTTTAAAGCTAAAAAAGTGTTGCCATATTTACCAGGGACGTGCTAAATATGGGTTATCACTGGAATATTTTTCTAAAAATAGCATGTACACCACTGACTTATTTTCTCTTGTTAGCGAAATTATGTATGCAGTTTAATACCGGTTAAATGTTGTCTCTTGATATTTTGTCGGTTTCGGCCTCCTTGCTGAGATAAACGCAATTTTATTAATTTACTTGATCCAAGGCTAATAGCAACCTTTAAACAATTTTAATATCATTAACTTGCAAAAGTTTTATTAAATGTACTCATTAATTCCTCATCAAAAAATATGAAAAAAAGTTCCTATAAACATGGGTATGAAAATGCACACTTTTGGAGCTACAGGATGTTAAAACTTTTTAAAATTAAGTTTTTTGTAATTATGTTAAATACCATTATTTTTTATTATAAATTGCTGTAAGTTGGTTTAATAGTAATAATAACTAATAGTAATAATATTTACTATTAAATTAGGTAAAATATATAATTTGTTAATTTTAATTTGATAAAATTGTGATTAATAAATCTCATCAAGGAGGCCGAATTCGACAATATATCAGATAACTTTTAATTGGCATAAAACGACTTTTTCTTTTGCTATCAAAATAAAAAAGTCAATGGTGCACATGATGTTTTTTTTGAAAAATATTTCATTGATAGTCCATATGCACGTCCCTGATAAATTTATGGAAACTTTTTGAGCATTAAAATATGTAGCACTTATAGTAATTTTTACCCCCAAAATTTCATTCCACTCACTAAAAATATTTGGAAGAAAATTGTAATTAATCGAAAGATTTTTAAGACTTTAACACCCTGTAGCTACGAAACAAAGCAAAATCGGACCTACGTCGTTATAAAAAATAAATCGTGTTTTTACAAAAGAAATCGTCCCACGAGAGATGGCACATGTTTTTTTAAACACCCTGTATATTATAATAATATAAAATGTTTCCCTTTTTACTAAAATATTTAAAAAAAATTACTGGGGGGCAATGGGTCATAAAATTTTTGAACACGGGCCCGCCACTTCCTCCCTACGTCACTGCTCTAATATTAATATATTATACTATAATATATTAATGTTTTTTTTATTATGAGTGCGTTAATGATTTTCTTGCTTGTTTTTAGAGTTGGATCTGGATTTTCTCGAACGACGTCAGCATCACCAACAGAATGCCTCATCAACAGCCGATGTCAAAGAAGAAACTTGCTCCCCGGTGGAGACTAGTCCGGAGTACATGGACCTTATCAAAATTATATTGTTGGGAGCACCCGCCGTGGGAAAGACCAGCATAATACAGGTAGTAGGTTTGTATACTGTAGTTGTTTGTATTTAACCCCTAACTGGCTGACACAACTTTCTGTAATATTAATGTTGGCAAGGAGTCACAGACGTCGTTATGTGCCTTTTTTTAAGCAGGACTAGTTTTTTGCGGGTTAGTGTAAAACTAGTGTGGGTAGTTGTAAAACTGCTTTACAGGGTGAGTCTTAAATAAGTGCAAATATTTTCAGGGGTGGTATATTTCGACCCCAAGAACACGTCTGTGAGGTTTTTTTCGCAAAAAAAAAGACATTGAAAATCGTGCATTTTCTTTTAAATTTCCTTGCATATTTTTTGAAAAATTTTTAAAACTGCCTGTTCACCGTAAATTTTCCCACGGTATAATTTCTTAATCTTTGATATTGCCATAGTTACAGCTTTACTCCATGGTTACGGCACTAAAAGGGATGCAAATACAGAAAAAATCCGGTGGCCCTCAAAATTATTCCAAAAAAAATTTTTTTTTAAATTTCCAAACTTAAATAACTCGATTATTTTGGACCTATTTGAAAAATGGTAAAGAGAAAATATGTTTCTTTTATCGCGATCTACCAGCTCTGAAAATATTTCATATGTCAACTTTTGACATATTCACTCAAAAACAAATTGTATTTTAAATTTCAATCTAGCCTTCGAAAAATAGATTTGATCGTCTAATGTTTTTAGTGTCTTGTCCTGGCCGGTTAAAAGATATATAGATATCGTATTTTTGATCAAATCTGAATTTTTTCAAATGGAACGAGGGTGGATCATTAGCATATTTGGAAAAAGATTTTTTTTACGAATAATTTGATACCACACACTTGGTATTTCAAGTCAAATTGTTATAATTTTAAATAAACCATATGCGAAAACGTCAAAAGTTGACATATGATATGTCATTCTATTCAAAGTGTCGCATTTTCTATCGAATAAAGTAAAAAAATATCGATGGTGTCATTTAAAAATTAAAAGTTGTAGTCATTTCCCTTGAAACCGGAAGTGACCGAAAACAATTGAATGTGTCAATCAATCCTAATTTATGTCATATACTAACATACCAAATCTCGTTTTTTTATTTGAAAAAATAAAAAAGTTTTAGGGGTGAGCCACTTTCGTGACGCACCCGGTATACTATTATATAGTTAACTTTTTAAGGCATTGTTAAACAGGGTCTGGCAATAGTGCGTTAGGTATCTGTAGCTTCTAAAATAAAACACTTGCGAATTTTGTTTTTTTAAGTGCAAACCTAAAATATGTACTAGGATGTATTTCAGGAAACTATTTTAACTTCAGAGTTGCTCTAAAAAGTTTGAGTAAATCGGGATATTTTTTTAAATACAACACCCTGTATATTAATCCATTTTTGGCCTCTTTTCAGATCACTTTAGATAATTCTAAGATATGAGTAAATATATTTTTACGATAGTTTCAGAGATATTAATAAATAAATAAATAATATATCTTTCAGCCGTTCTTAAAAAAATATATTAAAAATACAAGAACTGTCCTGAAATCAAAACTGTATTAGGTATTTACTTTAGATGGTCTGTGTAAGTGCTATAAATATCGTAATTTTAAATCATACAAGATGTTCAAAATTCTACGCCAGACTTAAAATAAAAAATAAAACAATTTTTCATCGTTTTTTTAAGGAAACACCCTGTATATAATTTTTTGTTAGAAAATTTAAGAATAAACATATTTTATTTAGAGTATTGCAAAATGTTTAACGGTTTCGCAAATATTCTCGGTTTTACGTTTCTTGTGGCATTTTCCACAGTAATTTTTATCAAAGCTGCCCAATGATTTTTCTCTAGTATTTTACCGTTGTCATCAAAATCTCAACCAGTTGGTTGCACAGTTTTGTGTTGCAACGTTATTAAGAACCTTCACAAATGCTGACATGGAGTGTTTCAGGCTCCGCGACGTCAATATTTCGAAAATAAAAAATCGGTGCTGGCCACCATTTCGGTAGATTAAAGTATAGTAAAAATCAGAAAGGCACAACGAGCAGCATGCCGCAGACAAAGGCAATAAGAATTTTGGTGAGAGTAATCGTGCGCCAAACGTACGTTAACGTGCGGTAAAGTAACGACTAAGCAGACTATTAAGCACAATATATTCCACCTCTTCCTACCTCTAACCGGTCTGAATAAATGTTGAATCTTTGCTTGTTGTCGAATATTAAAATACCTAAGTAATAATTAGACTCACCCTGTTTAACGTGGTTTACCTTAATAAAAGTTTCTCTTGGGCAAAAAACAGAACAGAAATAAAACTGACATAAATTTTGCATAATATTTGATGTTATGATAGGCATGCACTTAACAATTAAAAACATAAAGAATAAATGTACTAATAAAAATATTTACTAAAGAAAAAGGAAAGAATAATTATGTTTTATATATTAAATTGATGCGTTGGTCTCTTAATAAAGGAAATTTATTCAATATTGTATCAGTAAAATCATCAGATTATTGAAGAGCTGTAAAAAGATCTTTTTAGATTGAAAGTAAGGCAAGAAGTGACGATAAACGTTTATTTTTCATTGAATTTGTATTGTAATTTTTAATGCGTTTCAAACATGAAAAATGTCTCTCAACCGAAGTACTTCTAAATGGTATAGTAACAATCAAAATAAACAGTTCGAAGTCTCTGGAAATATATATCCAGTATTATTCTTCTTAAATTATTTTATAATCGATTCTTCGTTTAATTTTTAAATTGATCTTTATGGTAGAAAATCTGCAATTATTATTTTTACTGGATTCTTTAAATTTCTGTGAATAGGCAAGATATAAATACAACTAATTAGAACATATCTGCAAACCTTATTTAGAAATCTGTAACAATGTTATCTAATATTTCATAAAATAAAATTCGCAAAGCAGTTTTTTTGACTTCGCCGCTTTTATTAACATATCGAATTGAAACAGCACAGTGAAGCTTTTCTGCAATAGAATTTCTCAAGTTTTTCTGTAATAGAAGTTGTATCGTCCACTTGCACCAAATAATTTAACGCGCGTTTTTTTTTATTGTGGGTCTATTATTTCTGCGACGTGTTCTGAAATACAACCGATTAAATCATTTTGAATAGTCGTGAACAAGCCTGAAAAAATGTTTCCAATTTGGTTTAAATGTTTTAAATGCTACGTCAGCATACGCCATTTGTAGTTAATATATTAATATAAAGGACCAAAAATATTAAATTAGTATTGGTTTGGTGAAAATACAGCACATTCTTATTTTTCATTAACGTTTATTAACAGTATTTTTAGGTATTAACAATATTAATAGTAAATAATGTAATGTAATAAACCGCATTTTATGATTATTTCTAGAAAACTTTTAGATATCTTGGTTCTAAAATAAACTTATGAGTATATGTAAAACTGTTTACAGCTTTTATTTTATTCTATCTTCCTACCGAAAGTTTTTATTGATCCAACCCACGTCAACATTATCGAAATCTCTTTTGGTTAGATGCAGAAAGATATATTAATCGAAAAGAAACTTTATAGCGCAAAACTTTTCTTTTTACTTTTCAAAAATATACTATAATATTGTAACTATGATATTTTTTATTAAAAAAATATATTGTTTTATCCAATTCGGGTTTTAGCATTGAGTGATGCAAAACTTTTGAATCTGTGTATTTAGAAAATAAAAATGTAATCATCTCTTTTATGAAATGTTATTTACTTCATGTCATTTCCAGCGTTTTAATTATACGTTGAATAGTTATTTGATGTAGCTTTTATATTGCAACCATATAAAAGGATACAAAATCAAATAACACTCCATTTCGGAGATTATTATTGAAGCTGATGTATATTTCGAAATTTTGTAGAGTAGTATTTTCTCGTATTATCGCTATTTTTTCCAAAAAATGAATCATATGAAATATTTAAATATACCAATTCTCTCTCCCTTTCTCTCTTAGTTAGAAAAAATGGTTAGCGGCTTTTTAAAAGCATAAAGTTATACTCCATCCAAAAATAATCTAACTGTATTTTTTCACGACGCTAATATTTGCCTTCCTCCTTTTTATGAATTAAAAATTATGGCGATATTTTATAGGGAGAATAAAAATAATCAGAATTTTTTATCATCTAGATCAGAAGCTGAAAAGTTTCGAGTGCTTTCAGAACGCTTCTTAAAATCTTTCATAAACTGGAGCGTTTGATACTTTATATATTGATAAAAATATAATAATAATTATTATAATAATGTCTGTCTCCTTCATTTTTTACTTTCCTTGGGAGTATACTACAAACAAATTGCTATAGTAGAGCTGTTAGTTATATTAAGAGTTACCAGCACCACGCTTTAACCTACTATTATAAATTTTAATTTGTGGATTCAATACCGGGTGCGTCGTCGTCCAAACCAAACAAATGAATACGTCAATCAATCCTAATTTATGTCATATACAAACATACCAAATCTCGTTTTTTTTCTGAAAAAAAAAATCAAGTTATAGAGGTGAGCAGCTTTTGAGAGGTACCCGGTATACGCATTTAACAGTCGATACAGGAACATTTAATAACCATCAGAGAGTGTCACCAGTAGAAATTAAACATACTAAATTTGGCTTGTTATTCATATAGACAAGAGCTTAAAAAAATATATCTAATTTGCTAAAAAAATTCTGCCTTAATTTTTTAACTCGAAATTTTGATGTAAAGTACAAATTAATATTTCGAATACCCTAAAAATACCTATGTATCTATAAACTGCAATTTTGCATTAGAATAAATATGTATTACTTATATGTATAAATCTTATCTAATTTAAATAAATTTATCCCTAAACTTTATTTCAAAGACTAATAGTACTAAGCGCAGCCTTTCCAGAGCTTTATAATTCCCAGCATAAACTGACAAACTCGTGTTGAAAGTATATTTAATATAATTCCCTTGATACTAGCAAGAAACCTAAATAAACACAGAATCAGACAATTCAAACTGGAAGTTTAATAACAGCAAGCTCTGTAGC